CAACAAAAAAAAACCCTCCCTAGTTTTTTATTGCACAGCTTACCAGCAAGCTACTGCTTTCCTACTAAAACATGGAGCTGTGTCATTGTGTGTTAGATTTTAAAGAGTATTTCATTAGCAACTTCAAGAAACTGCACTTTCATTTTCTATTTAAACACAAAGGTTCTTTCTGTGTAAATAAAAAAAATTTCTCATATCTAATAACTTTCATCCACTATAACCAGATTTATAAAGAAATATCAATAATTTAATTTGCCAATGAACTGTACCAGGTCTGCAGCACTAACAGACTTGGTGTATCAGCTAGCTTTTTGAAAATCTATTTTGATTTGGTACTTCTAAACTGCTACAGCATCCAGTCTCAAATATTCCATCTCAGACTTCAGAGTGCAAACTGCAGCTTTTTGTAGTTAATTTTCTGTTAATACTTACAATCTTTTTCTCACATTAAAACTGCCAAGAAAAGAAAACTCTTTCATGGAAGGCCCGAAAACTATGCCCCTACTCTGATTTAAGGAAGCTCAAAACGAAATATAAATATAGTTCCAGTACAGATTTTCTCAGTAATTTTTTTAGGTTATCAAGAAAACATCTAGAGTGTTGATCTGGTTATACTCATGTCAGACAAACTACATGTCACATTAACTACCTCCAGGAAGTTATTCCAAACACAAAATAAACTGTTTATGCCACTTCTCAGATAGATAGCATGACAGATTGTTATTAATTGAAGACAGATGAAATACATTAATTTGATTGCAAGCATGTGTTTACTTTCTCACTGTCATGTACACTCTATTGCTGATGCTTTCCTATGAGGACAGAGTAACAAATCAAATGTTGTATTAGAAGACTTACTAAGGCAGAATAATAGCTGGTGCTGCACTTTAATACTTAAAAAACTATACTTAACATTTCCAGTTAAAACAGGAAATCACTGGTTTCAGAAAGCAAAAAAAAATGATAGCTTAAAAACTCTCGTAATTTACACAAAATACTGTAACACTTCCTCCTCTAAAAAAATTAGAACTATCAGCAAATCTGCTTCTCAATTACAAGAAAAATACAGCTTTCTAAATGACAAATTTATGACCTGAGTGCCTTCCAAAAGACAAATTCCTACTGATACAAGACATGAAAATGTATGCATAATATGGGAAAGGAAAGGTGAACAATTCCTAGGTCTCTGGTTAAAAACAGAAAGATACAATGCCTGTGAATGAGGTTTGCTGGTTTTATGCACACCTCTCATATACGCCTACACTTATTTGTACAAAGCTTATGTGGAAGTATCTTTCTTGTCCAAAAAAATGTCATGCAAAAACACAAAATCTGAGCTTCTTGGAATATTTCACACATTAAAATCAAATTGATGAGGCTGGCAGTTTGTTCTAACACGGGAAATAGTAAAAAAGAATGTGTTTACCACGACAAGTTCTCTGATTGGCATTTATGAAAGTAGCTACAGTTATTACATTAACTTCTTTTTACTAAAAATATCCCATATTAAATGAGACTTTCAAATACTGTTAAACAATAAACAATTACAGCACTTCTACTAAAGCTTTAAAGCACAGTGGTTCTTGAGCATCTTGGGCTAATGAGGTTAACACTTGCAAGATTTAAAATGGGCTTCAATAGAAAACAAGAAGAGCAGCCAGAAGTAAATGCCTTCATCTCATCACACAAAGTGCAGCTAACTAAAGAGGACACAGTGTGACAGGATTCTTGCCTAATAACAAGCATGTTTAACGTCTGGTAGATGGCAGGTCATTTTTAAGATGATGTTAACCTTTGCAAATACAAACAGCAGGCATCTTTTCATATAAAAGTAAAATTTCTAATGAAGGAAATAAAAAACAATACACCCAAGCTCCTTTTCAAAACTAGGATGATAGATGACTGGCTTACACAGCTTGAAGAGACAGTTAAAGAGAAAATAAGAATAATTTTTTTTTTCCCAGCTAGACATTTCCTATTTTCATTTTTAATACATTCTTGGCAGAAATTCTTGCAACCATTTCTCATTTGACTGAACAGTCTACAGCTACACTGACAGCTGGAATCTGATCTCTTCTGTTAGGTACCTGTACCACTTATCCCTACCCCTAATGCTGACATTTTTGGAAACAAGTATTCAGAAAAGATTATATTATTAAATAAAAATTTGACCCATCTTGAATATTATTTTACAATTAAAGCATAACTCGAAGTACTCTACTTTTTTTTTTTTTTTGAAAGTGTATTGTAAAGCCACAGAAGGCAAGAAAGGAGAATGCAAGGTATTGCTGACTGTCTTCTCCCTACCCTGCAATTAAAGTAGCTCAGTACATTGAAGATCTACCAAGCTAGCAGACAGTGAACTCAGAACAAATTAAACAAGGCACAAGGAGTTTAGACATGGTGCAGATGATTTTATGACATATCTGTTTGCTGCAGTGAACAGACCTAAACAAACACATCCTTAGGGTAAATTTAACAAATCAAGTGGGGCTGTGAATGAAAGAACATGAAACACTTTTTGTGCGTTCTGGTACGGAGAATGAACAGCCTGGCTTCAGCAAACTAATGCTACTCTCTCAAAAATATCATCTCACAAGACTTTAATGTTCTCTAACTTCACACCTTTGGTTAATTAGTTTTTACTTTCCACACAGAAACATATCCTAAGATTACAAGCTCCTCCTGGAGAGAAGACAATTTGTTCACTGTTGCTTTTTATCCAGTCTCTCAGATTCTTATACGGCCCTAGTGGCAATTTAAAAACCTTTTACAGTTAGTAATAGATCATTTGCTGACTAATTTGTTTCCCAGTAAATTAGGCAAATACCATTCTTGTTTTTACAAAGGGAAAATGAAACACATATGAAAAGATAAATTTAATCACAGGAAATTTCACTGCATCATCAATTTACTGCTTTGTGTACTAAATCACCATTCATCTTCTTTCACACTTGTATTCAGGCTTCCTAATCGTTGTGCCAATGAGAAATTTAAGTTATTAAGTTAAAGGTGTTAATCTAGACTCAATATGTGTCTAGACTAGACTCAATATGTTAATCTAGACTCAAACTCTTTAGGAGTAGCTGTTTCCTAGAGACAAGGAGAAATGAGGAAAAGCCTAGGACAGGAGAACACACCCCACCTGAATTTTTCTTGCTATATTAGTTCAGTTATAAAAATCACAGGGCAGGCACAGTGACCAGCACAGGCCAGGAACACAGTTGAAAATGTTTATTGAATGATGCTGAGAAAGCAAAGAAAAATAAGATGTGTTCACACAAACCATAATCCCCAATGTCCAATACCATGTAGTTTAATTCCAGTCCCAACAGGCACACTAAAACCCTGGCATTAGACAAGGATATGTTTCATGAAATTATAAATTAAATAATTTATATTTATATTATGCAATAGCATTAGTGTGACCATCTCTGAGAAACAGAAGTTCTGTTAATGAAGAACCATAACTCAAATACAGTAGAGCATGAAAACATGCAATAATTCTTTTGTATCTCTGAAACTCTAATTGCAGCATTTCTTCTCACATTCTTAAGATTTTCTGTAAGCAATATGTATGGTATTTCACTTTTTGTATCCAGCATCCTTCACAAACACAGTAATTAAGCATACACACAGAAAAAAATCAAGTATAAAGTGAGACATCATTTTCTAATTCCCAATATTTTAGTAATACCAACAAGGAAAAAGTTATACCTCTTAGAATGAAGATTTTTGCTTACCAGTGTCAGACTACCCTTTATAGAGCAACATACAAGAAACACAGAAATATTTGATTCATAATCTTTTAATAGTATTTTTAACACTGCAATGGCTGCAATATATTTTTTAAATGTTCATATGCACTCCTATGGACAAAGTAATTTCTATGTGCCTAATTTCAAAAACCACACTTCTCTTTAGATTAGACATTACTGGGTTTGATAGTAGTTTCCAAAGTTTCCTGTAATGAACTTCAATTACTGCCCCAGCACTTTAAAACAACACTTGCGGGCAGAAAAAAAAAAAGAAAATCTTCTCTGATTCAACATGAAACTATTTTTATCAGGATTACTGCAAGTAAGCAAAAAAGTGCTCAGATTGATTTAGCTGAGCTACTAGGGACAAAGTGCTGGGTTCAATAGCTTTTTTCAAAAATAAATTTCCTCCTTCTATTATTAAAGGTAAGTTATAGGACAGCGGTTAAAAAAGGGTGAAAAACAAAACCACTCTTTTTCTACTAATCCAAATAAATATCTGTTGTTTTGGTTGAATTTAACAATTCCATAATGTCAAGAGAATGTAATAAAAGATATAGTAATGCCATTTCTGAAATTCTAAGTTGAATGAATATTATTTTAAGTGTTCTTTAGTGCATTATTGAAGACATGAAGTTGCAATGTACTAAACATTCAGAAGATGGTGCTAGTCCAATATATCCACAAGCCATGGGTGGATCAGCTTCTCTTCATCTCTCTCAAATATTTTCTATAATTTTCATGTATCTATTACATCATCACTGAATTTATCAATACCAGGACAAGGTGTAGTCATCAGCAGTTAAGTACTAAGAGGACTACTAAATGATATCATTCTAAAAGTCATTAAGATTCACAGGATTGACAGGCATAAAATATAAAGCTGACTATAATTTCATAAACTCAGGGTTGTGGGATCTTTACGAAAACTCATACATTTCTTACATCCTGCCTTCAGTCACTCACATCTGTCTCCTGCAGTCACAGTTTCAAGACCTACTGATGCCAGCACCAAAGTCTGGAAAGTCCCAAACTGCTGTCCCATGCTGGCTCTTCATCTCCACCTTCATGCCACAGTGTAACTATGCTCTCCTCACCTACTTAGGAGGCCATGCAACTCCTGTGAGCTTAGGAAGCTCAGTGAGCTGATCCATGTTAAAAATAGCCATTTCTTTTTGACTGCTCTGTTTAACCCAGATCAAGTCTCAGATCCGATTTCCCGTGGAGCAGCGGTGGTAACTTCAAGCTGCAAATGAGCTTCACCACAAGGCCAACCAATTGTAGGTGCTTGCAAGGGCTGAATTCCTTCTCAGCACTGAAAAGGGCTGGCAAGTTAAACAAAGACAGTCTCATTACTGCATATGAAAAACTAATTTTTTCATATTATTAAAGGCAGATATTTATTTATTAAGATATGAGATGCAGTCTGCAGCTACAGACAGAAATCAAAACTAATTCCATCTGCCCTCCCTCCACCAAACCTTTATAAAATCTTGGAAGTGATTTCCAGTTCTGCCTATAATTCAAATATTATACAGCCCCTTCCACACTAAGTACAGTTGGACAAGTACTTTCTTCCAAAAAATAGTAAATCTGAACATATTAAAACATCAAGCAAATGGTCTTATCCTTACCTAGCAGTTCCTAAAAAAGGGTTTTCAAATAATGCTTAGGAACATATCTCAGAGTAATATATTTCATGAAGCCATAGAAATGAATTATTAATACCAAACTTATTTCTATAAAAAGAATTTACCTAATAAATAACAATTCCTCAGAGGACTCATGCCAGCATTCTTGATGGCTACTGCTGCATCTGTCTATACTGTTTCCACAGGTATGATTCTGCTGACCTCAGGCCAACAGCTATGTTTGGCTGTCCTCTCCGGTGTGATGCTTTTATCCAATACTCTGAATTACTTGCTCCTACCAGAGCCAACCCAGGTCAACTCCAAGGCCCTTCCATGCCTGATTCCTTTGTGATTCCAGCAGCTGTAATAAGGAGTTGGAGACACTTAGTGCTTCTCCTACATACCCCTCTGGGAACTCTCCCACAACAAAAATTATAAATGAACGTGAAATCATTCACTGGGATATAAAAGCAAGCCTTAAATGTTCAAAGATCAGGCCAAGTCAGTATTACTGTTATTACAGTAAACCTCCAGCATTAAGCAATTTCAAACATCAGTTCTTCTTCCAAAATTTTTCAATGCAGAGACAAGATTGGCACATATCTGAGAGAAATTACTCAGTTACTAGGCAATTTATTACTGCTTAACTGTTCCATGTGTATCAAATCCTGTTTAAGAGCAGCCCAGCTTTTCTTCCATTTGGAAGCTTTTGCAACTAATTATTACTAAACCAAACTGATTTCAACCGGCAGTTAAAAAATTAATAGTGCAACTGAACTTTATATTAAATGACTTTTTATAAGAAAAAAAATGAGGCTGCTTAGTAAATAAATATAACATATTTCAGTTAACTACAAAAGGAAAAATTAAACCCAAGCACATTCAGATCAATGACAGTAAATTTACTAGCTAATTCTTAAACTGAGCCACAGCACGTCAAAGACCACAAAGAACTGAAATCAAACTATATATTCTTAACAATGATGATTTCAGAGCAGACAGTAGAAATGGAACAGTACAAACCTCTTACGCATTTGCCAGCTCACATATTTCATCATCACAATCTAGTCATCCAGGCAAAAAAAAGAAAACAACAAAAAACAAACAACTGAATTTTAATCAATACAACAGTTGGTTCATCATTGTCTTGAAGAACTATTCTTGCCTCTGAGCAGAATGAGCATATACCTCATTTCCCCAACATAAATTTCGTCATGGTGTGAACATCTGATCTAGAACTTCATTAGCTTAACAGAAAGCTATTAAAATCAGATATTAAGGAGAAGCTACAGCCTTTTCCCAAACAAATTTAAAACATCAAATAGTGGACACACTAAGACAGATTATACTAATATTGCAACTTTATTAAACTGTATTAACCAGTTTCAGATGAGCAGAAGGAACCAAGTCATCAGGCTAGCTATAAGGGACTGAACAAAAATCATTAACTTTGTCCAAGACTTTAAAAGCTATATAATGCATAAAGGAACCAAAGGAATAAGAAAATTTCTTTATACAGAATTTGTTACAAATCAGGGCCCATATTCTTCTCAAAGCTAACCCAGTCATCTGTCTATGCAAAACAATCAGATTCCCTCTTTTTGTTTCCGTCTCACACACAAAAAAAAAAAAAAAAAAAAAAAAACTAACCAAGGCAGCCTCACACCAAAAAGACTTTCATCAGCAAAGTAGATGGTTCAGCAGAAAAGGCAGGCCTGAAATTAGTAAGAAAAATTATAATTTCTTTAGCAGTTTAAGCTACCATAACTGCAAATCAAAGGGCTGTTCCTGGCTTTTCCTGAGCTATTGGCTGAGCGTTTCCAAAGCTTCTCATGTGACAGCATCACTGCAGAAGAAAAGGAATCCACATGTTCATTCAAATCCTCTTTGTTCTGTTCATTTGAGGCTGGATTAGTGAACAGAACTAAATCCATGCAGTGCTGCCATGACTGCAGATGACAAAAGCAAAAGTGCATGAAGTCAATCACAAAATCACCTCAGACCAGGCTATGTTGTAGGAAATACATCACTGAGAACAGCTAAATTTGAACACATGTATCCACTCTCATAAGTTTTTGCCAGGATTCATCTTGATTTGAAAATATTAAGCAAGTAAGTTAGGCTTCAGCTGGAACTTCTTTTTGTAAACTTTTCAACATTTCTTTTCTAAAACTTCCCAAAACCAAAGGTGATTTTAAGAGTTTCTGCTCCATTCCATTTTTGTTTAACTTTGAGAAATCAGTTACATCTGACTTAAAGCAGAACTTAGCTGCTTAAAGTGTATTTTCCCAGACTATTTGGTCAGTCATGACCTCAGACAGTGAAACAAACCCAACCTATTTTTTATAGTTTGAAGTCCTCAAGCATCAGTAGTACTTCCTTTGCTTGCTAGGTTTGAAAAGGAACAGGAGAATTTGCGTCAAGAAGTTAACAAGTCCCTTGTAAATAACCCCAAGATATTATCTACTAAAATTTTAGCACAGCTCTGCTGATGACCTAACTTCTTTGCGACTCAGAATACTCTCCCTCTTCTAATATACATTAAGTGTTTCCAGAGGCACAATTTCCATGGGTGAAGTGTTCTAAATTAGGATAGTAAAGAAACATTTTTAGTTAATGGTTAAACATTTGTTTCGGCCATCACTGACCACTCCAACAAATTTATGTCAACATCACGATTCTATTTAAAACATATTAATAAAAATATATTAAACAACACATTAGATTCTTAGAACTTTTCAGTATCACAAATTCCTTTAACATAGTCTCAGCAAGAAACAGGGTTTTCAGAAAAATCTGTAAGATTCACACAGTTGAACTGGTTTACAGAGAACAGATGCTTCAAAGAAAGACCTTGAAGGCTTAAAACTAACCACCAGTAACTACTGAGTAATCAGTACTTCTCTCTGTCCCCCAGACTTCTTAATTATTGTATCCAAAGACAACTGTATTAAAAAATAAGACTGGATGGTATTGGAATAACCACCAGAATCCAGATCACATTCTATCACCTGCGCTGTTCCAACCAACCAGCTACAAATAATACACAGAAATATAGCTACACTGTCTATGGAACTGAGGTCAAAATTGCAAGGATGTGTAGAGGTGCTTTGTTCAACGTCCTAAAGGAGTTTTCAGACCTTGGAGTTGGGGAGAAGGAGATGCAACAGTTCAAGAGAGTGAATTTGGGCATTTTTTGAATACAGTAGTTGAAGGTCTGGCATAGACCACACCAGGAACTTCCTTTAAAGAGTATTCAGCAGCAAGTACTGGGGCAGGAAAATAAGAAACAGTACAACTACAGTGACCACTCCTTGATACACACCCCACCCTAAGCCTGAGTTCCTAAGCTTGACACTCCATCTCCAGGTTGCCACCAATACAGCTGAAATGTTTTATGGCTACTGGTGGTCCATCCCTTTGTCTCTGTGCTTCCTTTCTGAAGCCATGTGCACTTCTGGCTTCTACAATGAATAGGACTTCCACAATTTAGTCATTCACAATGTGAAAAAATAATTTAATCTGTTTATTTTAAGTTTGCTGTTTAATAAAAAGGCATGAGATCTCATCAGGTTTGTATTGAAAAGATGCCAGGTAATCGTTCTCTACCCTCTTTTCATGCTTTTATACACCTGTTTTTCTTCTTCTGACTTCTAGGAAACTCAATCTATTTTGTCCCACCTCATATAAAAGCTTTTTCATTCCTCTGGTCATCATTGCTCTCTTGTGTAAACAGGGATCACCTAAATTTTCCTCAATTCTAAAGGATAATTCTAAGATGCATACCTAAAATTCTAATCCCAGTCTTATCAGAGCTTTTCAGTTTGGCACCAGAGAGACACATTGTGTTAGAAGGAAATTACTCGCTTGGCATTTTGCTTGTCCTACTTGTTTCTTCTTTTCATTTCAGAAATGACAGCAGGAAATTTGAAGGGAATTCAAACTAAATATAAAAATGAGACATTCAGCAAACTGGAAGTGATAAACAAGCTTTTCAGGTTCATCCTTTCTAATAATATGAAGTCAAAACATACTCAGACATATAAGGACAAAACAATGACCAAATAATTTTAAAAGAATTTACATTGCAACTCAACTCATCTTCACCAGCTAATCTTTACCCATGCAAAGCAAACAAGGACATATTGCAGAGACAGATGTGTTAAATGAATGTCACACCAAACCTTTGAACATGAGATGTTTGGCTGCACATCACAGGCCACACTGTTGGGAGCAAAAGTGATACTGAATGTATTTCCACAAGTGTGGAAACCTCAACACAGCAAAGCAACAAGTACCAAGATCAGTGATGCACCAGTCATGACAGAATATAATCTGCTAAGTTTAAAAGACAACAGACACACCAAAAAAACAAAAAACAAAAAATTGCAGCTTTGAAGAGACTTCAGTAGCAGCTCTGCTGCCACACAAAACATTCAATGACTGACACGCCCCCCAAGTGTCTGAAGACAATTCCACATCCAGATGCATGCTCTGAACGAGCACTGACACAGTAAGCTTGAGATAACTGAACTGAGTATGGCCCTACCACAGGGTAACCTGGTGGGACAAGTCACACTGGCTCCAAGTGCTCCCTGGTGGGACAAGTCACACTGGCTCCAAGTGCTCCCTGACATCTGAAGGCCTTGCAGTGACCATGTATCAACTTACAGAATAGACCAGCCAGGACAAGATCAAAATAAAATGTTCAAACAAATTCCAGAGATATGTATACATGGATATTAAGTCACAGAGCTTTTCCCACTCTAGCCCCACCACCCACAATATCAGCAAACACAAAATGTTCTTGAAAGAACTACTTTTTGATTTTTCTCTTTCAGAAGTTGGATTGAACAAGGAATAGTCCAAATCCTGACTCTTTCTTTTAAATACTCAACATCTGATAAACTCTCTGCCTGTTTCTGTCCAACTGATTTTAATCAGATTTAGTAACCTGGACTAAAAAAGAGAAATCCTATGATTACCTCAAAATACTCAAATCATGAGCAGAACTATAATGCCTGCAATATATGGCACAAGGGAAGTATTATGCTTGGTCTTGGAATCTGGGGATTTCAATGAACAAGATCCCTCATTAGAATCAAATGGGGACAGATGTACTTACATGTGGGTGGGCATGGGTGGACATCAGCCCCTCCAACCTCTCTAATGAGCAATTTCCTCAGATTCAAAGAAAAATTTCATAAAAAGTTAAAGAGAAATGGCAACTTGCCTCCTATTACCACTGGCCTAACTGCTCGGGCTGCTGGTTCTATAAAAAAGGTTTTTTTCAAAGAAAATTATTGTTAAAACCATTTGGCTGAAAGTGAAGAACTATTGAAAAGCGCAGTCAAACTGGCAGCTTGCTCTTAAAATTCCCCCCACCACTTTTATAAGTANCTGGCTTCTACAATGAATAGGACTTCCACAATTTAGTCATTCACAATGTGAAAAAATAATTTAATCTGTTTATTTTAAGTTTGCTGTTTAATAAAAAGGCATGAGATCTCATCAGGTTTGTATTGAAAAGATGCCAGGTAATCGTTCTCTACCCTCTTTTCATGCTTTTATACACCTGTTTTTCTTCTTCTGACTTCTAGGAAACTCAATCTATTTTGTCCCACCTCATATAAAAGCTTTTTCATTCCTCTGGTCATCATTGCTCTCTTGTGTAAACAGGGATCACCTAAATTTTCCTCAATTCTAAAGAATAATTCTGAGATGCATACCTAAAATTCTAATCCCAGTCTTATCAGAGCTTTGCAGTTTGGCACCAGAGAGACACATTGTGTTAGAAGGAAATTACTCGCTTGGCATTTTGCTTGTCCTACTTGTTTCTTCTTTTCATTTCAGAAATGACAGCAGGAAATTTGAAGGGAATTCAAACTAAATATAAAAATGAGACATCCAGCAAACTGGAAGTGATAAACAAGCTTTTCAGGTTCATCCTTTCTAATAATATGAAGTCAAAACATACTCAGACATATAAGGACAAAACAATGACCAAATAATTTTAAAAGAATTTACATTGCAACTCAACTCATCTTCACCAGCTAATCTTTACCCATGCA